CAACAACAGCAGCAACAACAGCAGCAACAACAACAGCAGCAGCAACAGTAGCAGCAACAGCAGTAGCAGCAGCAACAGCAGCAACAGCAACAACAACGACAGCAGATGCAACAGCAACAACACCAACGACTAAAAATGAACAGCAGCACCAGCTTCAGCAACAACAACCTTGACAACACCTAAGCAGTTTCTTCTCATAGAAGAAAGACTATTTTGTTACAATCCAAAGAAAAATGGAATAAGCTTGGTGAACACAGATGAGCGCAGCTGTTCTATTTGAGAAATAAGACTACCTTTCATTTTAATACCAGTGTTAATAGCGATTTTTCTATATTCCAGGTTGAATTGTTAAGAATACGTCTGATACCTTCGTTTCCTTCACTTGAAATCAAATCCGTGGATGGGTTCCAGGGGAGAGAGAAAGAGGCTGTGGTCATTTCATTAGTTCGATCAAACAAAACAGGTTAGTAGATAACAGTAAAGAAACAATAACAACCCACCAACCCACCAACCCACCAACCCACCAACCCACCAACCCACCCACCAAGCAAACATCCATCAAGCAAACAACAAACCATACAATTATCATATTAACTAAACAGCCATAGTTTATTTTTTTCTTAATTCAATATGTTTTTCAGGTGTTGTTGGTTTCCTGGCCGAGGACAGGAGAATTAACGTGGCCATAACACGTGCTCGACGTCACTTAGCTGTTATCTGTGACTCTGAGACAGTTAGCCATCATTCCTTCCTCAAATCCTTGATTGACTATATGAACGACAATGGCGAAGTACGCTCTGCTATGGAGTATCTCCATGGAAACGTCATTACTGCTGACGTTTCTACTCTTGAATCAAGCTCCATAGCAACGCACGTGGGAATCCGAGATACCCACCCTTTGGTTTCCAAGGAAACGAAAGAAGGCTGTGATGTCGATAATAACACAAAGAAAAGCGAGAATATGAGAAATCCCTTGGAGCCATCTTCACTAAAGCATAATGTCAAGAGCTCAAGTAAATTTAATTCTACAAATTCTATTTTGCGAGAAAAATATTGTCTAGAAGAAAAGTTAGGAATTGAAAAAGATTTGCCAGATAAAAGAAGCGAACCAAGCGAAAAGACAAAATATACGAACAATAAAGTTGAACATAGAATTAAAAATAATTTCGAAAAGAAAAAGTTTGCTAATGAGAAAAGAGATGTAGTCGATTCTTCAAGAATACCACTCTCAAAAGAACAATTAGAGGAACAAATTCAAGGTTTTTTAAAGAGTAAGATGAAGGAATTGGTATTCAGCAACGAACTAACGTCGAAGGAAAGATTTTACGTTCACTCTATAGCAGAAGACATGTGCTTGGAACACGAGAGTAAAGGAGAAGGAGAAAAAAGGCATATTGTTGTTAGAAAAATAATGAAGAAAGTTGAAATAGGTGAGTTTATATCATATTTTCTATTGCTTCTGTATTTCCTCTCGTTGTTGTCATTGTTGTTTTAATTGTTGTTGTCATCGTCGTTGTCATTCTTATTTTCATTTTTTGGGGGGAATTTACATTTTCACATCTTTTGAATGGAAAAAACACCAAATTTCAACGCTTTTGGATAGAAAACCTACAGTAAGAAAGAAGAAATAACTAGCTAAAAACTAGTGTGAGCTGCGTCGGTGTTCATGAAACAGTAATGATAAAAGCGTAAATTTTACACCGTGAAAAGATGAAAAAACTTACTGACGTTTCGGACGCTAGTCCTTCGTTGGAGTAAAAGAGCAAGAAAGGATTTTCCACTTTTATATTTAGGAAAAAAAATTTTGGCGAGGTATGCCAAAGCTCAACGTTTTTGGATAGAAAAATTATTGTAAGAAAGGATTTTCTTCGGTTTTTGGATGTAAAACGTCTGGGGATAATGTTACCGATATGAAGCCAGGCTTATGATATTGCTTTTTCCATGCGAGAACATTATTTATGAGTTTCCAAACGAGTTACTATTTATTTTTCTCATTTTACTACAGAGAAAGATGACGATCTGCTCAGCACTTGCCAAATCTGCAAGAAGAAGCTCCCAACATGTAACCTTACGCTACACCTGCTTCGGTGTGAACAGCAACAAAAACAAAGAACAGCAGCAGCAGCAATGGCGAAAAATGAACCATTCTCTGATACAGACGATGTGGTTAAGAAAAAGAAAAAGACAAAGAAAACGGATAAGAATCCACAAAGTTTCTCCAAAGTCAAGAACGATGAAGAAGACCTAGATGTAATGCTAGCAAAGTTTACCCACGCTGACACAAGGTGTGCTTTTGAATTGTGTAAGCAGTGTATCACAATGCTGGGACAGACTTGTCGATGTTGCAGCAACACATATTGCTTGTCGCATCATATTCCCGAGGTCCATGGTTGTGGTGACCAGGCCAAGGTACTCTCCAGAAAGAGCCTGGGGAAGACTGAGCCACGTAAACCAAAGAAACTTGATTCGACGCGTAAAGCACAGCTGCAGAAGAAACTCGATAAGAAAGTGAATGAAATGGTTGATAAACGGAAACATAAAAACAAGGAATAGCTTAATAGATCTTATTTCAGTGCCATGGTGCATTCTTGGGCTGCATGTTACGTCATAGCCGCCATGTTGGTTGACTATACAAAGCTTTTCTTGTTAGATCAATACCCAAGATGGCGGCTCTTTCTTTGTTATTTATATCTCGAAGGGATTTTTGTGTCACATGGTCGCACCCCAAGAACAGGTTATACATTATTCTCATTGAGCTTCATTCTGATTTGCTGCAAGGGGTCATTTGGTATCCTTCCTTCTTAGCCCTTCCCAAACAATCTCACTGAAGCATTTCTAATGCTCTCTCCCTCATCCAAAGTTTGTTAACCAAATATTCTTCGTTAGCACGTACATCTTAGCGGCCATGTTGGTGATAATTTACCCCCAAAATGTTTCTAATTAACTTCGCTTGTTTTATCACCAACATGGTCGCCATCACACCTTGTCATTTAACTCCTTTGGGAACGCTTGCAAATAATAATTAGTTCAACTCATTGCACCTTGAAATTCCTTATCTGGGATTCAAAACCAAATAGTTGACTTCTCTTTAGATTGGAAAGCAAAACCAAATAGTTGACTTCTCTTTAGATTGGAAAGCATTTTTCACGTCAAATGCAAATGGTCGTGATGTTACTACCGAAGCATCATCTTAACTTTGATCATCCCCATCCCTCATTCTCTCTGTGATTTCCCAAGGAACTGAATTAATATACATGTATTTCAATAAAGTCAGTCACCGAAAACCTAGAAAGCTGAGATCAGTGAGCATCATGGGTAACTTTTCATATCACAAAAGCATATATATACAAAGCTTTTTTTAATACAAACTGCAGCTCGATGATGCTCAGAAGAGGTGAGACTGTAACCGATAAAAGATTCGCAAGTCCATAAACAGTTATCAAGCGGTTGAACGTGTAAAATGAATCTACCCATAATCCTTGTCGGCATCGGCTTTATAGCTTTTTAGGTGACTAACTTTATTGAAATAAATGTATGTGCAGTGATCGCATAGCGCACTAATAATGTGTAATAAATTTTCAAAATATCTTAGATGGTTGTTGGTGATTGTGTTAGTAATGGTGGGGAGACTGTCGGCATTATCAGTTTGGTGTAGCTAGGGAGAGCACTTCATTGACTTGGTTCTCGCTGGAAAAATTTTTTTTTATTACAGTCGAGCACGAAAAAAAAATTCTTCAGCTTTAAGAATTGCTTACAAGTGAGGTTATCGGGCCGGTATATTGCTTGTTGTCTGTATCAAACTTTCTCCCAAATAATATTGTCGTTCGCGTCATTTGCATGCATCTTTTGTTTGAATCGGATTTCGAGGCGCGAGCAGCAGTCTGAAGGCTTCGAGGAAGACGAACGGAAGCCACGGAATGTTTTCATTAAAGAAAAGGAAGTAAGGAATTTCCGAAGTCTATGCATTCCATTCCAGATATTCCAATGTCTATTAACCGTCTCCCTTGACCTTGGCAAAACGTGATCAGGCAAATAACGTACGAGGCTAGACTCAAAACACTCGAACAATAAACCACCCTTAAATTTTTCTCATAATGTAAACCCGTGCTACTATTTTATTTAAACGCGAAAAAACCAGCCAATCACAAACGTTTAATAGTACTTGGAACATGTTGTGGCGAGCACCAGATACATACTTCATGTGACTCAGATTCTGCTTGTCTTAGGGTCAAAAGTTTAGACGTTTGCAATACATGACGTACGTACCGGGATAGCTTGACCGCTGATCCGTGGCTCAAATTTTGATTTTTATGCCAAAATGGCTGCAAAATCGCAAAGGTGTTCAAAAGTTTGTGTCGAAAACTTGGCTTCCAACTTAAAACCAAACATCCTAGACGAGCTAGGAATGTACCTTAATCCTCGAATGCCCTTGAAAGACTATAAAACGCTAGCGGGAAAGCTTGGGTATTCATTTTTAAGAGTGAGAAACTTTGAGAGAGAAAGTAATCCAACAGTGTCGTTACTTGAAGACTGGTGGACAAGTTATGGCAAGAAAGGCGAAGCAAAAACAGTCTCTGAACTTATAAATATACTCGAAGAAATGAAGAGAGACGACGCTGCAAGTTTACTAAAACCTTACGAATATATAGGTGAGTTTGAATATTGAGTTCTCATCGTTATTTTAGGGGTATAAGTTAAAAAGATGATTTGTTTATGTCGTGAGTAATAAAGATGTTAAAAAAATATTCCTCATTTATGCATGATTTTTTGAGCCTTTAGAACAAAAGAATGTTATTATAAAAGTTTAAAAATGTGTTTTGATATATTTTATCAAGTATAGAAGCAATAACTTTGTCTATATATAGTGTTGTACAAGTAAATTCGAATTTGAAGTTATTTTTTACTCTGAAATTACGTTAAAAAAGACTAATTTGAAATTATATTATTATTGAGCTTTTAATTAATTTCATGTTTTGTAAACACGAAGATTTTCATATTAGATTTTATTAGAAAATAAAAAATTCAATTTATGCTAGGAAATGTTAACTAAGGTTTTGAATTTAGAGTCAATTTAGTCTAACTGTTGAATAGTTGACATCACCTCTAGATAAGTTACTTACTATTTTAGTTGACTTCGTATGAATTGAAAATTCACATGCCAATGGCTTGAAAACCAAGGGGAGAAGACATTGTCTAGTGAAGCAAATGCCTGGTTTTGTATGACTGTTAGTTTTCCAGATTGGAAGTAATACTGAAACGTTTTTTATCCTGAGTTATGACTTTTCTCTGATATTCAAAGCCTAAAATTATACTAAAACAATTATTGCCCTCAGGCTCAGTGATTATGGTGAATATTTTAACACCTCACCGCTCAAAGACTTGTGGCTCTGTAAATATTCCACCAATAATCACTTTGCCTTTGGCAAATAATTGTTAAATATTATCTGTAAGTTTATTTAGTGGAAAATGAAACCTGTTAAAAATAGTGATCAAATTAGCATAATATTCAATTTTGTTTTCAGAAATTGAAGTTCCACCTCCTAGTTATTCCAGTTCATCACCAAGATTCAAGTTCGGTGCTTACTCTTATAATGGTGTGTAAAGAAATTTTCAATTAATTTTCCTTCATAAAAATCCCAGGATAAAATCCTGATAACGATAGATTATTGCATGGCAGGTATAACTTGTATAATATAAGTAGGGTGTTGGAAGGTTGACACTAGAGTATTGCAAGGTTGTCAGTAGGGTGTTGGTGGGTTGTCAGCAGGGTATTGGTGGGGTGTCAGAAGGAAGTTGGTGGGTTGTCATAAGGGTGTTGGTGGGTTGTCAGTAGGGTGTTGGTGGGTTATTAGTAGGGTGTTGGTGGGTTGTCAGTATGGCGTTGGTAGGTTGACAGTAGAGTGTTGCAAGGTTGTCAGTAGGGTGTTGGTGGGTTGTCGGCGGGGTGTTGGGGGGTGTCAGAAGGGTGTTGGTGGGTTGTCATAAGGGTGTAGGTGGGTTGTCAGGGCTTTCAATAATATTTGAAGTAGATGGATGAAACTCAAAAGTACACGTCTGTTTCCACAAATTTTACTTCTYATTTATTAAGACTGATTCGCAAAATAGCCGGCGGTATGAAGGTAAGTACCCGGCGATAAACCGCTGGTAGCCGCCTTCTATTGAAACCCCTGGGTTGTCAGTAGGGTCTTGGTGGGTTATCAGTAGGGTGTTGGAAGGTTGTCAGCAGGGTGTTGGAAGGTTGTTAGTAGGGTGTAGGTAGGTTGTCAGCAGGGTGTTGGAAGGTTGTCAGTAGGGTGTTGGTGGGTTGTCAGTAGGGTGTTGGGGGGTGTCAGAAGGGTGTTGSTGGGTTGTCAGTAGGGTGTTGGTGGGTTATCAGTAGGGTGTTGGAAGGTTGTCAGCAGGGTGTTAGATGGTTGTCAGTAGGGTGTAGGTAGGTTGTCAGCAGGGTGTTGGAAGGTTGTCAGTAGGGTCTTGGTGGGTTATCAGTAGGGTGTYGGAAGGTTGTCAGCAGGGTGTTGGAAGGTTGTTAGTAGGGTGTTGGTGGGTTGTCAGTAGGGTGTTGGTAGGTTGTCAGCAGGATGTTGGTGGGTTGTCAGTACCTCGGTCAGTACCTGGGTGTTGGTGGGTTGTCAGTGGGGTGTTGGTAGGTGGTCAATAGTTGGTTGATTATTTGTAAGGTGTTGGTAGAGCAAAGTAGGGTACGTACTGATTCTGGGTAACGAACACCAGAGCGCATGCAGTGCTAACATTGAAACACTTTTGTCACCCACAGATATAATAACAGAGACAAGACTACCTACAGAAAATGATTTTTGTTTCTCTGGCTATTCTGGAACCCCAGAAGGTATCTATAAAATGGTCTAGTTTAAGGCATGTGTAGCAAGGACGTAGGCAGGGGGCAAGGAGGACATGTTCCCCCCTCTTTGTGGCAACAAAATGGCAGCTTTTTAGAATTTATGCTTATTTTAAAAATGCCAGATTTTTTAATTCAGCGTTTTGGGGGCCCAACCAAAATGGCTACCCTTCAAAAAATCCTTGCTACGCCCATTCATAGAGGCATATCAATGGGTGATACATTCTTATAGCCCACTAATTTATATATATATTTAGTAAAAATACGCAGGCGATTATAGAAAATCTTACGTGCTGATTGGGCGAAAAAACTCGCACTATCACACGATAATCACCTGCACCGATAATCCAAAATGGCGGCCAGCCGCTTTGTTGCTGATACGGGAAAAAATGCCTTTTGTCTTCTTTTTTTCCTTTTTTTGAAAGAATAACCTGTGTATTTATACTAAAACAATATTATTTGCCTCAGCCTCAGTGATTATTGGGGAATAATTACCTTGCTGTTCGAAGACTCGCATCTCGGTAAATATTCCCCGATATTCACTTCGCCTTCGGCGAATAATTGTTAAATATATAATAATATAATAATTTAACCTCTATTTGAAGCAATTGGTACAGTGGTACAGAGTGAAATTGAACATATAATTCATCCTCATTCTACGATGGGCTCCATGTCAGAACCTCGAGCACAAGGTATGTATAAACTATAATGATATCTTTGTTTTCTTATGTACTTCAAGCTACAAACTATCAAAGATCAAAACCTCTTATTACTATTATCTAAAACTTTTGATGCAATATCTCTAACGAATTTGTAAAATCTCAAAAAGGATAGCCTGTGTGCATCCAGTCTTTTGTCTGTCAAGAAAAGAAGGGAAAAAAATAAAGGAAAGAAGGACTTGACAGAGGAAAGCCTGGATGTACGCAGGCTATTTTATTTTTATTTTAAAAATGACACAATTCATAAATTTGGATATAATGAGATTTCAAGGACTGGCCATGGAGACCTTAGTCTCACTCTCAGTCACTACCGCTACTTAGGGTAGCAGCTGCGAGGGAGTCTATGGAGACCAGGGCCTGGTTGTACGAAGCCTGGATAGCGCTATCCAGTGGATAAGTCGATGCTGTTATCCAATAAATTTTTCCACTGGATAAGATTTATCCATTGGATTTAACAGATCAAAAACAGTTTTCCGTGTTTGATACTCTGATCAAAACACTTGGGATGTTGAGAGAACATGAGAGAAGCRTAGGAAACCACGACGCGTAGCGGAGTGGTTTCCAGCTTGTCGAGTGTTCTCCCAACATCCCAAGTGTTTTGATCAGAGTATCAAACACAGAAAACTGTTTTTGATTTATTTTATAAAATAACAAATAGGCGAAAAGATTGAAAAAAAGCAAAGTCTAAGTAAATTCTCCCTATGTACAGTCTTATTCAAACTGACCAATGAGCGCGCACAATAGATTAAAAATGACGGTAGCGTGTTTTGATACTCTCATAAAACATGGTTTTCGACCAATCATAGTGCGCGTAGTATCCCGATTATTTTATACAACCGTACAACGGGGTCCTGCACAATTGTAATGATAGTCACCTTTGTTACTGTGCAACTACACAACCAAGGCCACCCTGACAAATTTACATACCAATTAGCCAATCATGATTTAGTTGTTTTTTTTTTAATTTATTATATCCATGCTGACTTTGTTTGATTGATGATGTTAATTCCTAGTGCGACACCCAGCAACAATAGAACAGATTCAAAATAGACAACAGAATGAACAACAAAGAGTTAGAACACAAGGTGAGTCAGTAGAAGTATTTAAAATTTATATCAAAAATGAATTGTCATCCTCATTAGTATTCTTTATGTAAAGAATACTTATGAAGAGGACTTTATGGGGTTTAAAGGTCCATGCACACAAAGTGTATGGTCGCTCCAAATATTGATTTAATTGCTTATTATTATTCAGGGGTTTTTGAAAGTATTTCATGAAAGCTTGATGAAGGTTTTCTTGCATGTTGCATGTTATATGTTGCTTGTTGCATGATGCATGTTGCATGATGCATGTTGCATGCATGCACACTTTCTGTTCCGTCATTCCTATCTAAAATAAAGGTTATCGTAATTTGTATTTTATAAAAGAAATAAAAAACTTGCTTGATGTGCTGTGTGGAGTTATAAAACACTTGGGGATTAGCAGAACACTCGAGAAGTGTTGAGAAGCACTCTGATACACGTCATGCTTCTCCTAATACTTCTCTTGTGTTCTGCCAACCCCCGTGTGCTTTATAACTTCACAAAGCATGTGTGCCCGTTATCTATTTCTTTATTTGATAACTGTCATATATTATACATTGTATATATGTAACTGACCAACAGAGAACCCACCCAAAGTAAATGAAAACTCTGGCATAAGAAATACAAACGTAATGGATGATAGACCTAGTGGTCACATGAGAAATACACACGTAATGGATAGCGGTAAGTACTAATAAAGTACTAATAAATAAAGCAGATTTTTCTGTGATCCGTTCAATAATACAGAGTTGGTATGGGTTTTGGAAAGTCTTGGAAAGTGACAAATAAATGGATTTTCTCAAGGACCTGGAAATTTTTGGAAAATTGATTTTTGGTCCACTAGCCTATGGAAAAGTTATAGATCTTTTGCAGCTTGTCTAGGTCATACCTGACAAAGAATTGTTTTCATTGTACTACGGATTTCATTGAAGTGTGGCATGTATTAAAAAATTTGTCTGCGAATTTGCCTACGAGATGCTGTGACTCCGTCCACTCGGAGGTGTGATATTGTGTGCATTCCTTTCTCGTGAAATGCACAATGGACATCAGCGAACTTGGTCGTGTTTACAGTAGGGGAAGAGCATAAGTAGTGATTTGAGATCTCTCGTCATAGATGAGATTGTTGAAAGTGGTGGGGATATCATAGCATGATTCTTTCCTGGGAAATTTGCAGAAATTGCTCGAAAACTTCCCCCGCCTCCATACTCAACTTTGAACTCAAACCTTTTACTCGACGCCATAATTGCGAATTGAACGTTGCACAGGAATAGCCAAGAAAGGAATGCAGACAAAATCACACCTCCAAGTGGGCGGAGTCACAGCGTCTCGTAGGTAAATTCACAGACGAATTTCTTAATGCGTGCCACACTTCAATGAAATCCATAGTAAAGAGCTGAAGATTTTTTTGTCAGCATTAACGTGTGATGTACACATGTCATTGTCTGCTTCAGCACCTACTGGCATTTTGGTCCTAGTGGAGTGACCTCATTTATGTTTCAGATCTATGTATTTTGCTTTATTTTTGTGCTACATTATGTGTGGTTTTGGAAATTTGAATCAATGGGTTTTGTTTTGAAAAAGTTTTGGGAATTCGTCCAGGGGATCCTGTATGAACCCTGGTAATAAATCATGCAGGAAGTGACGTAATACTCAAAAAGGAATGACTAGTAAACCAACCCCCCTTATACACACTTTAATATGTAGAATTTTTATTGCCACTTTAGAAACGAGCAAGAAACTGGAGCGAGTTATTGAATTTCAATCGTATTAGAAAAAAACTTTTGTCATTTGAGAAAGCATCTCAAGATTAGTAAGTCTGACAAATTTCAACAGGATTGGATGAAACAAAGCAGAATAGCTGTCCTTCAAAAGTGTTGAAAATTTACGAAGAAAGTATGGTTACAAGTGCCCCTTTAACCATACAGTACATTCTTTTAAACTTTTTTCACACTTTTGAAGGCTTGTAACTCTGTTTTTTTTTAATTGAAATGCTTTATTGAGACATATTATTGAGATGCTTTTGCTGAAGATTAAAATTGAAAACTCACCCCAGTCTTTTGCTCGTTTCTAAAATGGCCAATTACAAGCAATGTCCTCTCTGATGAGATGGATCAAAGGTGGTGTACCTTATTTCTGGTATTACAACACATTTTTTATACGTGGCAACTATTGTTTGGCATTACTGACTGTTATTTCATTTTTTTGTAGTACAAAGGCCTGGCTTGATGCAAGGTGGGTTATATTATGTTCTCTAAGAGTCCTAAAACAGTACCCCATGCACTAAATATGTTTTATCATTTATTTTCAAAACCACTTATAGAGCAAGGTACCCATATGCTTTTTTATTGGGAGTCGCAGGGCTGAGGCAACTCTGAACAAACTTTTTTTCAACAATTGTAGCCCACCCCATTTCATTCAGCAAGAAATTCATGATGCTCTTAATAAGTCAACAAGGAAACGTTTTTGTCAAAATAAAATGGTTTGACCTCCAATTACTGCTGTCCTTCCTTTCTAAAATGCAGCCCCACCCCCCACCCCCCCTGCTCACCATAACAAAGGTACTTTTCCTAGGTGTTTAGTGCAAGGGGTCTAAAGACATTCTTTACAAAGTTGTTTCATAAATATTTAAAGGAATATTATTTTCTCTTTTAGTGCCAAGACCAATGGAGCCCCCAGGTAGGAAATATATCAACGACATTGATCAAGGGCACTAGGACACTGAATGTGGTTGGATTTCTATAGGGTTTTTTTTTCCTTTTGATTATTTGAATTAAATCAACRTTATACTTGTTTACTTATCTTGCGTCCATGTTCATTCGTTCGCTGTTGTAATGCAGACATTTTCATTCCAAAGGTCAAACGGTTTAAATAGCCTATGAGCGTTACTTCTTTAACGGCCGTTCCGTACTTGACTCCGTTTGTACTATACCAACAACAACGCGACCGCGCGATAGTGAGTTAGCCATGCCCTGACTTAGATCAGCCCAGAGGTTGTTTCAGGGTTCAATCTGTGAGTTAGCCGTGCCCTGACTTAGATCAGCCCAGAGGTTGTTTCAAGGTTCAATCTGTGAGTTAGCCGTGCCCTGACTTAGATCAGCCCAGAGGTTGTTTCAGGGTTCTATCTGTGAGTTAGCCGTGCCCTGACTTAGATCAGCCCAGAGGTTGTTTCAGGGTTTGATCTGTGAGTTAGCCGTGGCCTGACTTAGATCAGCCCAGAGATTGTTTAATTTGTTAATCAATGAAATTCGAAGGTTCTTTTGCATTGCTGGCAACACACATTTATTGATAAGGATTCTATTGTTGTTTTGTTGTTTAGTGGTATCAGATAAAGTAGCCCTGGTTATTGGTAACATGGAATATGAATGTGAAAAGCTGAGAGGATTATTGTACCCTGAACAAGATGCTCAAGAGATAGCCAAAGCACTTTGTCAGCTGGGATTTAAGGTACTAAAAATTATTCATCCATCCCTCCCTCCCTTCCTCCCTTCCTCCCTTCCTC